GGGGGGGGGGGGGGGGAATCGCGTAGCTCATTGACGTCAACAACGAGAAGCTTTGGAAGAAAAAAAAATTGTATTTCCCAGAGCGCCGTGAATATTAATTCGTTAAAAAGGACGCGAATTCCTTGAAACACGCGAATTTGCAATATCCACGTCTCCGGTCTCACCTTAATCGACCAGCTGTCGTATATAGCCATACCATTAGTTGCAGTTGTGGTGGTAACTGTGTATAGTATTGGCATCCTCATACCATGGTATAGCGATGACGCGAGATAATAGACGCACGAGACTAATTTTCTTGAATTATGTTGTACAGCGCAATCGACGGCAGATCGCTTGCCGAGATAATAATGCTAGCTGTGTGTGTGTTTATTAATAAACGCACGATGCATTTTTTAGTGTTTTTTGTTGCCGGCGGCATTTTTGTTCGCGTGCGAGAGAGAGGAAGCCACCACCGTCAGGTTGTTTGGCGTTTTAAAAGTTGTGTCACGTCCGATGCGCCATAAATTCGTGGACAGCAGGAATTGTCGGTACTGTCAACGACATAATTGACCGATCATTAGTGTTAGCATAGACGTACAAACATTGTTTATTTTTTTTCTAGTTATTATATCGGCTAGAGGATATGTGTTTGGTTTCCAAAACAAGTATATACCCTTAAAAATTGCACCCAACAACGATGGGTCGATAGGTTTTGGTAATCAAAGTAATACAACGTTTTGATTATAAATTATTGTATGCATTGTGACGCAAACTATGCGCGGAATCGGTTAAAATTTTTCTGCTCACTTTCTCTGATTAAAGTACGATTTGCCGTATTGTTGGTTCCCTTGTATATTGATTTATTAACGCGACTACTGGCCATCAGAATATCATTTTCATTGAATTTTGAATACGTAATCAACATAATTCCGTGAACTTAAAAGACAAGTATAGAAGCGACCGAACTCGGGGATTCCCTGGAGTGGATCTTTGCGTGGAAGACTTTCTTTTTTATATCAATGATACAATAATTGCAAACTACGAATCATTTCAAAGTACGCACTCGAATCGGCGGATGAGTTCGTGGTGTGATTTTTTTGTCTTACTCGAGTCGGATAATATGTCACGTTCTTTTTAATCTCGCGTTGTCTTGCAACAGGGGAAATCCACGGGAGCTGTGGAAATGTGTACTTTCAAGTGGATTTGCAGGCTTTCACGTAATATTGTAGAGCAGTGGGATGCAACGGTACACAACGGAGAGAAGCAGCTGCTGTAGAAAACTATCACTCATTGACTATTATATATTTTTTTCAGGAATTCGAGAGTAAAATAATGCATGTACTCTCCCACAATAGAATTTTGGAGATTTTTTTTATTTATGTGATAGTTTTTTTCTCAGTCAAAAAAGTACACATTGTGCTTTGATATTTATGTGGGTGTTCAACGGATAAAGTTGTGGTCTCGATGAAAAAAAATTATTTTAATTAATTTTGGGCAACCGGATAACATGCGAATTTGAATAACAGAAGCGTTTAATTTATTCTCATGAAAAAATAGTGGAATCCTGAAAAAAAATTTAATATGCGGTTCTGAATGTAAGACAGATGTATTGAATATAGTAATCAAAATTCTCGTAGGTAACTTATTTTTTATACTGTAACAAAAAACATGCGTTGTTGATGATTAAAGAAACACCCGCATCTGCGTATTATTTTTCGTTCAATTAAATCAAACAAACGATAATTGAAGTTCTTATTATTCTGGGATTGAATTTTTTTTTTTTTTTTGAGGTATAGAACAGACGGTCATAAAATTACTTTTTAAATTTCGATAAAAAGTACTATCAATACGAAATCTGACAAATATATTTTTCACACTTGAAAATACCGATTCGGAAGTAAGGAGCAAGCATATTCTTATTGGCTGCCACACTTTTTCATGCGAAGTGGGTTACTACTTGTATTTATTATATTATGTACTTAGAATCGTCGAAAACAAGGTTAAATGTGGTCAAACCCGAGAAAACGAAAATTTTTAGCTATGTATCGGCAGTTCTACCTTGAAGATAAAAAAAAAAAACTTTTTCTTGAATAATTACTAATACACTAGCTTGGAAAGATCAATGTCCTAAATAGCGATATAGTGACAAGGCAAAAAAAAAGAAAGTTATATCAAGCGTTATCTCTTACCTGTTTTGCCGACAATTTGAGTTGAACAGCGTTTCTTTAACATCTAGTATTCGTAACACTTCCACTGATTTGCACATATCTGGAAAAAAAGTTTCAGTTTGATATTTTCATTTTTATTTTCGTTGAACGAATGAATTTGCACAAAAATATTGCTGAGAGTTTTTAAACCCAAATAATTTCAAAAATGGCAAAATTCATGATTTTCTGGAGAATAATATTTATCAGGTAATAGTCAAGGTACAATCGTAGAAACTTGTTTATCCATTATGACTGTCGCTCAGTTCTTTTATAGCGAATGAAAAAATATCTCGAGACATGTTAACAAATTATATTACCTAAGAATTTATTCGATATTTTTTTTCAATTATATTGCCCAAGATGACGGACATTTCAAAGAACGTGAAACTTGTATTGAAAGTAAAGTATTATTTTTCGTTTGAATTTTTACGTTCAACGTAACAGTACAAGAAAGAAAAAAATTTACATTAATAATTTATTTTTATCAGCCAGAGGCTTTAGTCAATGTTTTTCATGGCCTTATTAAAACACAATTAACTGCGTCAGCTTTTCGGTGCACATCTGCATAAACACATATATTGTTCGATATTCTCAATAATTTATGCAGATTTTCTCAATATTCTTTGTCAAACAAATTAACTCAATCCGCAAAATATTCTTAAAAATTATGATTCTCTTGCATTTTATCGATTCATCGAACGTGCGAATAAAATAAAAATTTCATAAAAAAAAAAAAAAAAAAAAAAAAAAGTAAAATATCGAACCCATTTTTTCAAAAGTTTGCAGTTGGATGAACCGGCCCATTGATTATTATTTTTTTTTTTTAATCATTTTGACATTGGATTTTATCTGCAAACTTTTGACGGTTAAAATTAAATAAATTTTCACTCGAAAGAGCGAGCATACAATGTGGATGTGAATTATCTTCCGATGCATCGAGCACTAGTGGGTCGAATCTATATTTCACCTATTAGTAAAAAAACACACACACGTCACACTCAACAGCTACGAACCATTGTTGTTATAAGCAATTTTCATAACGGCACCGTCCAGCATTTTTTTATCGGCTCTTTACTGCACGCATTATCGCCTGTCCGTTCATTAGTATCAAAAAATTGATCCATCCATAGTCTGCTACAGTCTCTTCCTTTACGCAGTCCCATTCAAATTCGAGGGCTACGCTGTCTCGAGCCACAGCGAAGCGAAACAAAAAAAAAAAAAAAAAAACTCACAGTCGTGCACACGCGAAAAACAGTTGAGCAAACAAGTAATTACGGGCGAAAAAATCAATAAGACGATAAAAGTGATGTTGGAGAGGCAGAGCGGAGCGCAAGAACGATCGGCAGCGTTCACGCGACTGTGGGGTCCCTCGGCTGATTGCAAATGCGACACTTTGTCGAGACAAGCAGAGGCAAAGAGACGAGATAAAGCGGTGGCCGGAATATCCGCCAGTAATGTGCACTTACAATGTTCGCGATTGCAGTCTCACTCTCCCTCTTCCTCGCACCCGTTGTGTGTGCATAATACGAAGGAGGAGGTGGGGAGGGTAAGTAGTTGCCACCGGCTATACAGCGCGTGTTAATTATGAACCGATAAAACTGGTTTGCTTCTTCTCCTTTGGCTTACGCGCGTGCAGTTGTGCTTAATTCTTCGTGATGCACCCCCCCCCCCCTCGTGACTCCCACTGGCTTGATCGCGCTCACTTTTCGATACTCCACCTTGTTATAATTATTTTTTTGCCTTACTTTAATTGCAAGTGTATCATATATATACATGTGTACGCGCACCGAGATTCACGCGTGTTTATCTTACGGAAAAACCGAACTGAGCAATATAATGACGCGCCGATGCGCTCGTTGTTTCAGTATTTTATGTAATTAATGTTTAATTTGCATACGCCGATGGAAGAGCTACGCGACTGCACCTTTTTTTTCATCGAATTTTATGCGGTTCAAAGTTTTTTTTTTTTTTATAATTTAATACGTTGAATCGGGAGATTTACAATAACTATGATCAATATTTAGACCGTAAGGAAAAAATACGAATTTTTCTATACTCGCTACCTCGTGATATATCGATCAACAGAGCTGTAACTCATCTGAAATTTCGTTCTCGCATTTACAACCTGTAAACAAACAACTCTCAATTTACAAAGATAACAATTTTGAATGTACTCCTTTGAAGCTTTTTCGAGTCGAGGTTACAATGATGACTACCGCACAAATGGTGAGATTTTTGGCTTTTGGTTAAAAACGTTGTGCCATTAAATTTTGAGACGAGACAGCAAGTCAATGGTGACAGTGCATCGCTCGGACGCTCAGTTTATTAGAGGGCTCCGAGTTCCATGCCGCGTGTATCGATGATTAAAATTATCTGGCACCCTTGAAACTGCAATCGGCCGGATAACGCAAAGACTGATTGATTTATCCATTTAAACGAGACGCCAAAACAAAGATGGGCAACGGCCAAGAAAAATAACATCATCTACCGCCAGAGAGACTGCACGGAAGACTCTCGTTTGCCGTGTGTACGACTAATTATATATTCGCTCAAAAGTATCGACTTTTTTTTTTCAAATAACTTCCGTCGCAACTCGTCAACAGTAGCTGTACCTTGTTCACCAAGTACTCGTCGTACATTCACAAGACCATGTATTTATTGATATTAATACCTTTTTTTTTTTCTCTTATGATTTCCAACGGGCGAGAAATATCAATGATCAGGGATAGAAATGTACTCCACTCCAAAATTACCGTAATAATTGGGACTGTTATTACCAACGGCGCTTGAAGGTATATCCATACGCAGGTGTACAGGCTACGCGTTCTCTGAATCTACCTTCGAGTTGGTCTTGCTCAATGATGGAAAAACTATCATTATTTGCTCCAAGACTGATGTAATTGTTCCAAGAACGGTGGTAAGGGATAGTTATTATTGAAACTCAGTTCCGCATCTACCTGTACCATCAGAGCTCATACTTACTTGTACGAGTCGAAAGAACTTTGTAATGCACTCCAGCGCGCAGTTTAATCGCAATTTCCACGCAAACAAATAAGCATCGAGAAGTTATTAAATAACGGCGTTTCGAGTGGCTGAGAAACCAGGTCTCGCGTATTTTGTCTGTGCGGTGAAGTTGAGTTTTTTGAATGGATGGAACGCCAAACTGGAATGATAATTAGCGCTTCACGCCGAGAGGGAGAGCAAAACGTCGAACAACTTCGCGGCTCTGCAGGTCTCTTGCGTCAGACGTTCGGCGCGCGTGTTTGTAATTCTCATCTTGTAATTTGATTAAATCCGCGATTCGCTTACTTCGCGAGCCTTGAGCCACTTTGTAATCGCAGCTTCGTGAGATCGACAAAAGTTGAAGGGCAACGCGCGGTTTGTCAAAAAATCAGGCATTTTGGCCATTGTACTCATCCCTTACTTTTTTTTTTTTTTTTTTTTTTTTTCACATCTTTCGTGCAAGCGAGTGTCCCTCAGTACTTCGTAACCTCACAATATTGCAGCGCGAGAAAGGCTAGTACCCGTTGAATCGGAAGGGCACACCCGAGCTCCATCAGTGAGCCAACGTTTTAGCAAGTCTGGCAGCATCGCGTGAAGCTGCGGCGGGGCAGCTTTGGCTCTGTCGACGCGGATCAAGCCCCGGAGGCGCGAAACTGACTGGCGTGTGGTGCTAATTTTAGGCTGCAGTGGGCCTAACGCGCAAGAAAACCGGAACAATTATGAGCCGTGCAAAGAAAGAAGAAAAATAATATATGTATATACGCTGCTGCAGACTTTGGGTGACTGCTCTGTACAGCTATATATATATGTACCAGTGAGTAAGGTGTAGATTTTTGTTTTCTGAGCCTGTGCCATACGACCACGATGACGCTGAAACATTCTTACTTTTTTTTTTGGAGATGAGGTCCGGTTATGTGTTGTTTGTCAAGTTAAAAAAAATAAATAAATAAATAAACACAAGTCAAGATCGCTGTTGTTCATTGAGTTTTATGGTGATGGGAATGGTTTGCTCGGAGCAGTATACTTGAGAAGGACATACAGGTAAAAATTTTTTATTTCATAGTGTTCAGGTTAAGAAGAAAAACAGACCTGCAAATTGATTGGCATGAACCTTTCTGGGATTATTATTCGCTGCTATTTTAACCCGAACACCTCGTTAACATTTTTGACGTGTGTGAAAAATCTGAATTGCTGTACAACGAGGTGGAAAATAAAATGTTTCATCCTTAATTACTAAATCTGGTTGAGAAGATACTTAAATATAAAGGATTACATATAATTCACTATACATTACGTATACTGACAAACGGATGTACACCACATTACACGCGCACGTACGTACAGACAACATACAGACGGTTGAAAAAATTCTTTTTCTCATGGTATTGTTCAATCTTTGAATGATAAAATTAAATTTAAATTGGTTTTAAAAGTATTTTATTGTTATTTGCTGAGATACATTTTACAAAAAACATTATTGAATTTTTTCTCTAATAATTTAATTACTACATTAAATAGTTGATACCCAACCATAATTTTTTAGATTTATTTGAATATGAAAATTCATTTTTTGAAAAGATAAAACAGAAATTTTAAATGATAATATTAAATAAAAATTAATCATTCCGAAAAAGTAAATTTAATCCAAGCGATGTCGGTAATTTGGAAAAATTGAATAAAGTACATATTATAATAGTATTAAGAAAGATAATGACTGTAAAATATGCAATTTTTTTAAAGTATTTTTTAAATATCATGTAAAATTGAAACCCATTTTTTTTCTATACATGACTAGCAACAAGTTGTAAACTATTCTTCTATAATATTATAAAACGGGACAGTCTTACTGAAAACTCCTTATCTGGTTTTTTGTAATTTCAAAGTTTGACGATTCCTCTGCAATTCATTCTAGTAACGATAACATTTTTGTATGGAGCACTAGTTCATTGTAAATTATTTTACAGCTCGTATTAACTATGTACGAGCTCTAGGGATCGTTATTTTTTTCGTAATCGAATCTCGATTATCAACTAGCTGGAGGGTCTCTTTCTTTTTCTCTGCTCTCCCAACACCTATCATAAAAATTATTGAGCTGAAAATTTTTCCGTCATCATGTATCACGGAAAAAATATGTAAACACAAATATGATTTACAATGGATATAAAAGGCCATGAAAGGTAATATAATGTACAATAAATAAGCTATAGGACTGTATGTTGTAATTAAAAATAACTTTTTTGATTTATGAATAAAAACATTTGACAAAAGTAAAAAACTTCTTACGTGCCAAGAATTCTCATGATTTGTCATTAGTTTACGTCTTGTTATAAGCCCATAAATTGTATGAATTACAAAAGCAATCCCACAAAAAGCTAATAATTTCTTAAAATTACAAAAATTTTCGAGATACATGACACATCATCAGAATTAAGATTTTGTTGTCAAGAAGCCAAATTCATTTAATAGCATGAAAGCGCTTCAAAAACGTGTGATATATTTTATTTGTACTACGTTAAAAAATATATCCCTACATTATTGGAATAAAATATGAAAATTGTTTATTAAGCTTTTCCATCATAAGAGACTTGTAGCAAGAAATTTCATAGAACTAATAACTAACATTTTTTGGATAATCCAAACAATTATGAAATATAAAAAATATTTCGAGTACACACAATATTGTTTATTTAAAATTTATTTTATGAAACTTGCTTCACTAATTTTTGCTTACTTTTATTTTTTGTCATACTTAAAATATTAATAAAAACATTATTACAAATAATCTTTGCATGCGATTGAAAAATAATTCAGTTGGAGACACGTGCAGTTTTAAAAGAATTTTTTTTACAAACATAACAATGTGCCAAAAAAATTCATTTAATCAGTCAGGACACAAAGACTAAATACTCATATCCAATAAAATGTATTTTTATTGTACAAGCACAACATTTTTTGATTTTTTGCATATTGAACGTCGTAGGATCATAGTAATCTTAGTAAATCAATTTCACAATTTATAAGAATTAAATAAATATAATAGTAATGGATTGTTGTGATAAATTCTACAGATAAAGGAAAATATTTAATAATTACCTGTAGGTTTGCAGTTAAGCAATAAAACTGAATTATAGGGTGTTATCATTGTAAAATTTTACCATAAAAATTAATGAACAAGCTTCGCTCTAGATTAGGAATCGTTTAATTCCTAAGTTGATATCTTTAATCGTTTAATCTAAGTTGCACAACGTAGATGGAATTTTGAACTAAATGTTTGTTGGTAAATGTTATTCAACATCCCAATAGTGTCAAATAAGCTGAGAAATCAAATGTTTATAAATGTTTTGGTATATTTTACAGGTTATAAATTTGTTTTAATCGTTATTTTAAGGACATACATTTAAACATGCATTTTACATTAAATATCTGCAAACTCCCTTCAATTGCTCCTTTGTCATCTAATAATATATTACTTCACATTAAAGTTGAATATTATTATTGCCCATTATTCCTTAACAAAATTTCATACTTATCCACTGTTTCCCTGACGAGAGCTTAACATGACTTTCTTTTATCAATTTTTTTTTTTTTTTTATTTATTTATATATTTTTTTTAATTAAT